TTGAACAGCATGGGGATCTCGAAAACGATAGGAGATACGAAGTCGGTTAAATGGGGAAAAGTTGCGCATTCGGAGGCTCATATCAAGAGCCTTCGAAAATTTTTAAAATTATTTTTAGTTTTTGAGTTATATCGTAAAAAGGTAATTTTTGGAATATCTATTTTCTTTTTTTTTTCTCCGTCATTATTAGAGATACAGAGAAACTGAAACTACTTTTTCATAGCAACTTTTGATGACGTTTAACGTGGTGATACCGATTTTTTTATGCGACGTTTTGTATTCGTAGAACCATCATCAACTTTTGTTTTTCAAATACGGTCCTGATAATTTTTTCTCAGATTCTGAAAGGTTTTTTTATTTTGAATTCAACCATGTATTATACAAGGTGATTTATGTGTGTTTCGACCTATTTTTTCTCCATCATCAATGTTTTTTCGAAATTCCAAAGGAGAAATGCCATCAGTTCCACTTATTTTGAAGGAAAATTAGTCAACACACTAATACCTCATCAACTGGTTTCAATCAACAACCCATTTCATTTCGCGGAAACAAAAATTCCATCCATATAAATTCAGAATATTTATGTCAAGCGCTAAAACCAGGTGATGACGAAAGACGCAGGACATTCTGTGAGTGGTATACCAGGAAATGTCAAAATTTTGCAGATTTTCCTCGAACAATCATCTGGACTGATGAAAGCATGGTCACTAATCATGGTATCTTCGATAGAAGAAATACACATTATTGTTCACGAGAAAATGAACATTTATACATTACAGCGAGACACCAACACCGTTTCGGCTTTAATATGTGGGTTGCAATATTTGGTATACGAATTATTGGTCCTTTAATTTACCATGAAACACAGACTTCCGAACGTTATAAAAATTTACTTGAGAATCATCTTGAGGAAGCTCTGGATGATTTGCCGATTGCGGAAATTCAGAACTGTTGGTTTCAACAAGATCCGGTATATAATTCCAGAGAAGTCCGTGCGTTTTTATCCAGAAAAATGGATTGGTACTCATTCTACAGTCCCTTGACCGGCGCGGTCGCCTGATTTGACAAAGCTGGATTTTTTCTCAGGGGATATATCAAAAACTTTGTATACGCAAATAACTTTGATGATGAAGAAGAACTAAGTGTCATCGAAGCATTCAATAAAATAACCCCAGAAATGCTTAGTAATGTCTTATATGCAACTGGGAGAAGAGGATATCTTTGTTCAGAAAATAATGGTTATCATTTTGAACATTTGTTATGAATGTTTCTGTAGGTATTGTCAAAGTTAAGAATTCATCAACAATTTTAAGCGCTGCATTGAATGATGTAGTGAAATATTTTTTATCCACTTCTCGATATTGAATAACTGATCCATCAATGTTTGATACTAAATGATCAGAAATAAGTGAAACTGATTGCACTTTTCCTTTGGAAGATCGAAAAAACATTGATGATGGATAGAAATAGGTCGAAACACATTCGAATCACCTTGTATAATACATGGTTGAATTTAGAATAAAAAAAACCTTTCAGAATCTGTGAAAAAATTATCAGGACAGTATTTAAAAAACAAAAGTTGATGTTGGTTCTACGGATACGAAACGTTGCATAAAAAAATCGGTATCACCACGTTAAACGTCATCAAAAGTTGCTACGAAAAAGTATTTTCAGTTCTTCTGTATCTCTAATAATAACGGAGAAAAAAAAATAGATATTCCAAAAATTCACTTTTTTCGATACAACTCAAAAACTAGAAATAATTTTGAAAATTTTCGAAGGCTCTTGATATGAGCCTCCGAATACGCAACTTTTTCCCCATTTAAACGACTTCGTATCTCCTACTGTTTCCGAGATCCCCATGCTGTTCAACCTCATCTTGGACAGACTGTATAGTCTTACAGGAACGATGAATAATTTTCCGAAAATGATTTTAATGTCTTCAAATGCAATGATCAGTCGTCAGTTGAAAGTAATACCTATAGTATATTCCTGACAAGAATACAGTAGATGGCATGGATAGCAGAGCCCGCTTTACACTAGTAAACCCACCAAATACAATCATCCAAGAATTATTGCAGAACAAAGAAAAAACAAAATACACAAAGTCGGTCGACCACAAATTATATTACAATTGCTAGTGTGACTAGTTTCGGCTAAACAGCCATCTTCAGACAAAAATTAAATAGAGTACCTGTAAGAAATGAAATTACAGACGAACAATAAGTTTGCTGAGGAAAAAACATACCTATGCCATGTGGTAATTACAAATTCATCAAAAAAATTTTTTAAGCGGTTATATCAAAGTATAAATATAATCAGTCCGGTAAGGGGGTGATTAAATTTTTAAAGCGGCTGAACAGCCAAAAGAACCTTATAATCATGAGGTTCAACATTGGCACGAAAAAATTTTTGAAGATATTTAAATTCACTCAACTGAGTTTCATCTTGAATGGCTATTGAAAGACAGAAATCCAACAATCGCCGAGGTAAGCAAATGACAATGACAGCATGACAAGACTGAATGACAGTGACAATTATACAAACTAAATGACATGACAAAATCATCATAAGGTACAGAATACTATTTGGCAAAATAACAAATAATTGCAAAGGAAACAATGGGTTAATTAAATAATCTCCTTGTAACAAAATTATGAGAAGTACGTGGTAAGGTTGAAGACCAAAAGGAAGAAGAAGAATTGTCAAGTGTAGTAAAAGTAATAAAGGCAGAAGAAGAAGAAGCACCACCAAGAGTAAACAGGTCCGGCTTAAGTACCTGAAAACGGGAAAATTGATCATGAGAATTTGAGTGTGCGAAAAATGTGGTTTCTTTCAAAATTAGTTTGGTCGTTGAGGCAATTAATATTTGGATTATTGATACATTTTTGAATTTCCAAGATTTCTAAAAGGTTTAGCCGTTTACCTTTATTGCAAATGTGAATAATATCCATATTGGATTTGACATCAAAAGTGTGATTAGAATCAATAATATGATTAGCAAAGGAAGAGGAAGGGTCATGAATATCTGATCTGAGAAATTTGTGGACAATTCTGCAATGTTCCGATGCGCGGGTTTCAAAACTTCTACCAGTTTGGCCTATATAAGATGAATTGCAATCATTACAATTTAGTCTGTAAACCCCTGACTTTTTTGTCTGAGAAATTTTATCTTTAGAATTAACAAGTAGGTGTTTGAGATTGGAAGAAGTTTTATAGGATATGTTAATATTGAAGTTTTTGAAAATTTTTGAAATTTGGACTGAATAATTACCGAAAAAATGTAAAGATCTGAAAACTGGGGGTTTTAAAGACTGATTCAAAGTCACATTAAAAGTTAGCCTAAACCTTGTATAAAATTTGAAATAAATCTTCATGATTTGTTCTAAGGGGAAATGGTTATTGATAGCGATTTGTTTAATAATGTTAATCTCCTTATTGAATGCTGTATCTGATAGTGGTAATGAAAAAACTCTATGGAAAAAACAGTTAAATGAAGCAAATTTGTGTGAAGGTGGGTGGTTGGAATTAAATGGAATCACTGTATCAGTGGATGTAGGTTTTCTGTAGATTTCAAAATCAAAAGTGTGAGTTTCAAGGTTTTTTGATATGAGTAAGTCAAGGAAAGGCAGAGCACCGTTAACTTCCAATTCACTAGTAAAAGTAATATTGGGGCACACTCAAATTCTCATGATCAATTTTCCCGTTTTCAGGTACTTAAGCCGGACCTGTTTACTCTTGGTGGTGCTTCTTCTTCTTCTGCCTTTATTACTTTTACTACACTTGACAATTCTTCTTCTTCCTTTTGGTCTTCAACCTTACCACGTACTTCTCATAATTTTGTTACAAGGAGATTATTTAATTAACCCATTGTTTCCTTTGCAATTATTTGTTATTTTGCCAAATAGTATTCTGTACCTTATGATGATTTTGTCATGTCATTTAGTTTGTATAATTGTCACTGTCATTCAGTCTTGTCATGCTGTCATTGTCATTTGCTTACCTCGGCGATTGTTGGATTTCTGTCTTTCAATAGCCATTCAAGATGAAACTCAGTTGAGTGAATTTAAATATCTTCAAAAATTTTTTCGTGCCAATGTTGAACCTCATGATTATAAGGTTCTTTTGGCTGTTCAGCCGCTTTAAAAATTTAATCACCCCCTTACCGGACTGATTATATTTATACTTTGATATAACCGCTTAAAAAATTTTTTTGATGAATTTGTAATTACCACATGGCATAGGTATGTTTTTTCCTCAGCAAACTTATTGTTCGTCTGTAATTTCATTTCTTACAGGTACTCTATTTAATTTTTGTCTGAAGATGGCTGTTTAGCCGAAACTAGTCACACTAGCAATTGTAATATAATTTGTGGTCGACCGACTTTGTGTATTTTGTTTTTTCTTTGAAAAAATCTGGACCACTTTGAGAAGGATGGATGGTTTCCATGACTTAATTATTGCAGAGTTTAATAATGAACTAATTACATATCTGTGTACCTGACATCGAAAATTCATTTTGCTGAATATAAAATCAATGAAATCATCAGTTTTTCAGTGAATTACACAATACTAATATAGATGGTCGTAATTGAGGTTATAGTACCTCTGTGTTTGTGGCTTGTGGATCGTTAACATCAGACTATGGAAGTAAATGAAAACCCAATTCTTTTCTTACGATTATTGCAACTGCAACATTTAATAGTTGAACCCCATTCATATAAAACAGTTATAGTCAATAATCTCACTTTTGCTTTTATTTCAGACTGATCATAGATAGACAAGTGACAACCTACGACAATCGGTAAACTAACCATTGTTCAACATGAAAATGATATCGTTGGTGTAAATTCACCTGGCGTCTAGACCAATGAAAAGAGAGAGAGCCCATCTCATTATAAACTTAATTCCTGACTGGAACATACTACAGTTTTTGAAAATTAGTTTTTTTCTAGATTTCACTGTACTTCACTCACCTTGGCATTCGAAGTTTCAGGTACCGGCGAATCATCTTCATCATCCTCATGCGGGTTATACACTAAATGTATCAACTCCTTGCCCTTGTCTTTGATAGCCTCAAGAATATGATGCTTTCGATCGATTTCAGGAGTGTTCACCTTCACCTTTGCAGAACGTTTGCGAGGCATGAGAAGGTTGTCACCTGGCTCCAGTTGGGGCAAAAGGCGAGTATTCCCATTCTCATGGGGTTGCAGAGAATCTTTGATTTCGGGAATCGGTGTTAGTTTGCAGTAGGGGATGGGAATGGGGTAGATTGCCTCGCCCATAGGAGAACTGGATGTTTTTCGCTTCATATTGGCTGTATTTTTCATGGGAGTGATGCTACCAAGGTCAGTTAATCTAGAAAGAGAAGTGTACGTTTTTATACAGATATCTGAAACTTTATAGGCCTTTTCATCTAGCAAGATGATTTTGTGATGCGCATGCGTTCGCATTCAGAACTACATTATGATATTGCGAAGGTAAATACACAGCATTTTATCCATAAAACTAAAATAAGTATTACATAACTGGTGATGCAATGTTCATTTCAAGGTCAAAATAAGTGGAATCTTTATGTAGAATGTAATTTGTTCTCATAAAATTGCTAATAAAACTATTTGGTAATGAAGTGAATAATGTGTTAGTCATGTAGATATTTATAACACAACACTAATTGAGGAATATCTTCAATGATATCGATAAAGGTCGTGACACAATGCAAATAAATAAGAAATAGAAAATAGAGAACAGGGTATAAGGAATATATAATATAGATATTAATCTTTTTCAAGGCAGATTGAATTAAATGAAGCAGGAATAGAGTTGAATATTTACCAATAAACAGCGTGCAAATGACGTTAGTAAATGGGCTAGACAGACTCCAGACCAATTTGACCACTTTTCCCATGTAAATCTCCATAAGAAAAGTTAAGGTTCATTCTGCAGATTTTGGTTCCTTTCAAGGTCATCCGGCTCCGACGAGTGACTTATCAGCAAGCTGTTGATAAGAACCGCAATAACACATCGATGCCAATAGCTGAGTCGATATACAGGGTGTTTGAGTTGGCTAATAGTTGGGGGAAAAAAATATACATATATAGAGTGAACCCAAAAGGCGTTATACCTCCTCGACGAGTAGACTACCAGCATATAGGCTACCCGCTAGCTAATGATTCAATCTAATATACAGGGTGTTTCAGTTATATATTAGTCGAGAAATATATACAGGGTGATCCGCAGTAATACTACCCCACTTTGGGGTATCAGAGGGTTGAAGAGGGTGCGGGTACTCTAAGAGAAGAATTTTTAACGGACACTTCGAAAATAATGGTTCGTCCATATGCAAAGTCTCAAAGTTTATGAGATATCATTTGAAATGTGTGTGAAAACGTTCAGTTAGGTATGTGATGGAAATAACTGTGTTCTAGCGGGGAAGCGGGGTAGCGCTGGCGCGAGCTTATCGAAACCGCAACAATAACACTTTAATGACAATAACAAGATTGACATTTCATATACAGGGCGTTTGAGTTGATTTAAAATTGAAGAAAAATATATACAGAGTGTCCCACGGTTCGTGGTCCCATGTTTTAGCATAGAAGAAGTGTTTGAGTTGATAGAAATATATACACGGTGTTTGAGTTGATGAAGATTGAAAAAAAAATATATACAGGGTGGCCCATGGTTAGACCACCCCATTTATGTGTTGAAAATGAATCGGACAGCTGACGTATGATAATCGACATATGACATTTGACATTTGACAGATGGCCATCGACAGATAACAACGATCGATGACACGTGACCAGGCTACGTCAACTACCAGCTTGCTGCTGCATACGTTCAATATACAGTGCGTTTGAATAAAAATATATACAGGGAAACTCGCTGCAAGAACTGATCAATTCAGATGAACCCAGCAAACATATTGAACAGGCAAGGTATGACAGATGACGCGCTGACTGATGATTTAGATCAATATACAGGGCAACAATGAGAGAATATACAGAAAAGCTCGCTGCAAGGACTACCTACTTCAGACATGCCTAGCATATATTAGACAAATATGTAGAGCAGCTCCTAACCAAAACTCATGAAACTGCTCTGTGCTACACTAAAGGAAGTATTCTGGCTAGTCCGTCAAACAAATCATGAACAATACTCGTAATGTACGGTTTAGAGGGAATTGTCACGGAAACACCACCGAAATGCCACAGAAATGTCGCAGAACTGTCACAGAACTGTCATGGAAGTGCCACGGAACTGTCACGGAAGTGTCAAGGAAGTGTCACGGAAGTGTCAAGGAAGTGTCAAGGAAGTGTCACGGAAATGTCAAGGAAGTGTCACGGAAGTGTCGAGGAAGTGTCACGGAAGTGTCACGGAACACGGAAGTGTCACGGTTGTGTCATGGAAGTGTCATGGAAGTGTCACGAAAACGTCACAGAATGCACGCGTTACCTGATGATTCCGATCAATATACAGAGCGTTTGAGTTGAATAGCAATGAAAAAATATGAAGAGGAACTCGCTGCAAAAACTGTCTACTGTAGACGTGCCAAGCAAATAGATATTAGACAAATATTTCGAACAAGTCTTAACCAAAACTCGTGAACAAGATCTGTGCTTTCCCAAAGAAGAACCCAGCGAAATATGTCTAAATTTCACTACCAAAACTCGTAATGTAATGGGTTTCTATAGGCTAGGGGCCTTAGGGATTAGCGATTATACAGGAAAATAAACATGGCAGCATTCAGACAGAAAAAACATATTGCTGTCAACTACTCTACAAGAACGATTCTTATTATACCTATAATAGGTCTGAAAATTCTCTATATATCAACAAAATCAATGGGAAATTATCGTGACGCAATCACTATCATTATACTGACAGACAGCATGAAAAAATGATACAATAGATATCTGAAAAGCTCAAAAGACTAATAATGCTGAACATTCTGCATCAAATAACGAAGAAATAACACCCATTCACCATCCACCTTAGGATATATCGATAAACTCTTTACCAGAACTCATTCAACAACTTCACTGAAGAACGAACCCACGGAATATATCAATCAACTCTTAACCAGAACTCGAAATGTAAGGGGGAGCAGTAGAGGTTTGGGACGTTAGGGATTAGCGATTATACAGAGAATATGAACATGGCAGCTTTCAAGCAGAAAAACATATACCTGTCAACTACTCTACAAGAAAGATTCTTCATCTATATGCAAAGTCCGAAAATTCTCTAGATATCATCATACTCAGAGGTAGCAATGAAAATGATATCGTAGGTATCTGGAAAGCTCCAAATATACTAGACTGATAATGCTAAACATTCTGCATCAAACAACTAGAAAAGAACACCTTTTCACCGTTCACCTTGGAATATATCGAACAACTATTTACACCTAAAACTCATATTACAGCTCAGTGTTTCACCATAGGAGGTATTCTGGTTGATTCATGAAATATGTCGAACAACTCTCTACCAAAACTGGTAATCTAAGAGTCAGAGGAACAAGGGGATAGCGTTTAGTGCGATGGGATGTAATCCGCAGGAAGCGAAATAGGTATCATGTTTCGGGTGATCTAATATGAAAGCATACCCGATCAGACCTAAAAAAATTCTGTCATATAGAAATCCTATATATCGTAGGCCAATTCTCATCAAATTCCTCATGAGGAACATCAGTCACGTGACCTGATAGATCGTGAAACGTTTACTTGGTAATAACTGCAAAAATATATGTTTCAACTATACGAGGTGTTTTTGAAATAATAATATGTATTCAGCACATCGATATATAACATTCTCATATCAGATATTTTCAAATTCTTCAAATCAACAGGAACTTTCATCCCTAAAATTGAACAAAAACAGGAAAAAATCAAAACAATCTAGACAATCGAACTCAGCACAGAAAAATTCATGTAGATGGAACGTTATAGGATTGTTACAGAGTGAAACTATATAGGTGTAAAATTGGTCTCGCCTCACCTATATGTCATTCGACAGTATAAACGTCTCGAGGTTCGAAATTTTCACGCTTATTCCAATACAGCCCAGTATATAAAAAGAAAATGTGGTTATAAAGCATTTACCTTTAGCTTTTTTCACCTTAGCAGGCTTAGATTCGATGAAAATCCGAATAATGAATGAAAATAGTGAGAAGACAATTCAGATAATACAAAAACCGCCATACTCCCATTTTCATACAGGATTCTTTAAAAGCACACATCACTACCATCACAAATAATTCACACACAAACGGCATTTTTGAAAAACAACACCATTTAATCGACGAGAAATTTCACATAACGTCCACGATATGACTGAACAAATATAGAAATAGAAACTTGATAGTCAACAGGAAACCTGATAACAATTAAACGTTGATAATGCATGTTTAGCAGACAAAAAATATGTTTTCAACAATATATGAACCACCACGAGGAAAAATATAATAAACAGGACGATTAAAAACCTGAATCAGATGAAATATTTGAGAGACGTATGACTTTACATTATAACAAATGCATAGGTTCTCGACTGCGATATCTGAGAACAATATGGCTACCGACGATCTGTGACAGATCCAACAATCAAGAAAAAATACATCCCACCATTGAAAATAAATAGTACTCCTAAGGATTAGCACGCAAATACATTGATATGCTCAGAGTTTCAATGTTTGCGAGATATCAATTAAGAATGGAGAACCGTGAATCCTATATTTTCATGTTATCTTTCATAAAGCTAGTATTTGAACTTCTTAATAATACTGACAATAGATGCGCGAATAGAATACTCTACTTTCTATACGACATCTTCACAAATGATGCTAGATAGATGACACTTGATAGATACCACTTAACACATGAGGCGTTTTGCAGATGATGTATAAGTAAGAGGAGACATATCACGCATGCGTCAAAACGTGACGAAAACATCACAAAAACAGGCGTACCATTCTAACCAAATGAAATATGAACAACATAAACCAATTATGAATTGTGATCTCAGACAAAAATATTCGAAAAGACTAATATACACGACGAAAAATTATTATATCTCTTGCCATCATTCCCAGACAGTTTAAGTATCCCATCCAATTCAAAATCGTATCTCAGCTATCATTTGAAATATTCCCCAACTGCATCAAAATAGAATAATCACAAGGCGACATTCTCTTCAAACCGATATAAAGATTCCCCATGCTCATTATAAATAAAAATCGAATCCAAACAACATATGACACAAAGTTCTATCACGAACGTTGCTTAACAGAAACTGCGATTTTCATTCCAGACAAGAAACTTCTCTACAAAATACAGATACGA